GGGTCCTAAAACTATTAGAAAAAAAACACTGTGATTCTTCTTTCATATGACTATTTCTTTCCTGCTTCTCTTAATGCAATAAATGTTAAATAATACCATATAATAAATGCCAATTTAAATTTTTCCCCTTAGAGTGGTTTCTTTTTCTGATAAGATACCCACCCAAGAGCTTTTATTAAGGCTCATAAAAGTCAATAAGGACAAGAAAAGACATCCAAAATATTAATAGCTCTATGTTAAAAAGAAATATTTTTACCAAGTCTGTTGACATAAGACAGATAGAAATTTAAACTTAAGACTTCAGAAATTTCTTCCAAACTAGCTTTTCCATCTTTGTAGGCTGTATATTCTGTGTCTCTTATTTAGAATTTCTGAAGAAACAGAAGAATCCTATGAGTTCTAAGTAAGAAAAAATAGTTGTGGTTTGTGTTTAATGATAGCTTACTTGTGCAACCTCAAAAACCAAGCAATTATTATGAATTTACTCATAAGTGTTGCATAAAATAAGTCTATAAATTCTGTTATAATTGTCTTTGTGTCTATTAACCACTTCTTAAGTATTTTTATTTTTATGTAGTTTTTCAAATAAGTATAGTTCCCAGAAGAAATCATTTTTTTAACTATAGGAAAGATACATTTATAACAAGCATCTTCAAATAAGTTTCAGAGAAAAAATTTTAAGTTCTTCACAATGAAGAAGTGAATATGACCAGGTGGTGGTTATTTCATATCAAAAACTATTACATTCAAATTGGTAATGAAATATGAAGCTAAGGCATTTACTGAGAAGAGGGAAATAAGAAGGAAAACTACTTGGAGCAGCTACCTTTTAAGAAGGGTCTTAAAGAAAGCAATGGGTGTGGACTAAAAGAAATCACAAAGTATTCTTTGCTGGGTGAAACACTAGAGCTGTGTCATCAAATGCAGACCCCCCAAGGTACCCAGGAGAGCTAAGCTAGAAACTTCCCAGTCCGAAAGCACTAATCCTAAATATTAGCTTTCTGTCCAATGTGTTTTTGAAACGGCCCCTGAGACACATAATGAGAGCATTTCAAAAGAAAAAAACAGGTTACTGCTTTCATTGTCTACTACTCATTACATCAACATAGCTGTCTAAATATGCTCCTCAGTACATGTCTGCCCTCTCTTCACTACAGTAGTGTCTTGTACTGCTTCCAAAGCTTAAGATCAACAATGGCTAAGTCATGGGGAAAGTATCTATATTACCAAATACAAATAAATATTTCTGATTTGTCCTGTTTCTTAAAATCTGCATAAAAGTAAAAAATTAACTTGGAGCACAGTTCTGCCTTAAAATCTACTACCTGAATATACAACTAGTCATTAAGTTTAATCAACATAAAATTTTAATTAATTAAATCTTAAAATATTTTTTAAAATTTTATCTTCAAAGTCAAAAGGATGAATGTATTGAAGATATGTACTGTGAAAAACAATTTAGGTCACTCTGAGGAATGAAAAATGATATTCAATATATATACATAGATAAAATTTTCAGCCTAATTAGAAGCTTCAAGAGAAGCATTTACTGTTACATATACAGCCAGGTGAGTAATCAAAGCCTGCAGTGAGTGAAGGATTCAGACTTTGATCAACCACAATCCCGGTCCACACTCTATTCCTTTGCCCTTTAATGCAGCTCAGTTATATTAATGATCTATAGTAGCTTTTTTTTTTTTTAGTGAAAATCTTTTAATGCTAGAATCCTAGGAAAACTATCTGAAAATTAGGAATAATGAACTAGTGTGGCATTTAGACTCATGAAATGTAATAAGCTCACCTGAGTTTAAATCCTCCAGTATATGTAAAATTTATATCATAAATATATCTACTGCTACTATAAAACTCTTCCTTTTACTTTAGAATCACACAGTTTATGTTGCGTGGGTCACCGGCCAGCAGTGACCACGGAACGCTGTGGATGGCTCGACGATAAACACGCGAGAAAAAACATGCAGAGACAGACCAGTTTCTGTGGGGAAGTAGGGACGAAATGGCTACCCCCCCTAGTGGCAAGCGCACTGATTTACCGTCCATACCTGCTTTTATTAGGCTCATTTTGCATAATAATTCAGGTAAAGTACAGTACTCATTAGGGGGAAGTAAGGAACCATAGAAAACAAGGAACTCTGCCGGTCTATTTTGAGTCGGGGTCAAAGAGCTGTAAGACTTCAAACTAACTTCCTCCTAAGACCCTTCTCATTCAACTGAGAGCATTCTAAACAAAGAAGGTTTCACAGTAATTTACATGTTCTTTCTTAGGCCTGATCACCCGGGAAATCTGCCCTTTGCAGCACAGAGCTGTACCACTCTGTCCTTGTTTCAGGCTTAGGTGGAGCAAGGGAACTAAGGCAACCAAGAGATAAGGAGATTTTCTCCCGGACGATGAGAACTCAGGCTATGTCAAAGCCGAGGAGTGAGGGTCCATCACCCCCTTTTGCTGCAGCCCCCCAAGTCCTTCTTTTGGGGGGCCTCCCAAAGTGATCGTGCCTGTCTTAGGTCGTTCTCCCCTTGGGGAATCTTACCCATCTTTGGCTAACCGACCAAGCTTTTTGGGGTTCAGTTATGAATAAAGCAGCAGAAGCAGCATTCTTGCCAGGGAGATAAGCTTTTGTCTCCTTGCTGGCTTACAGTTCCAAGGGCGTTCCCTTAGCCTTAGCCTAGGCAGGGGTTTCAGCTTCTGATACCAGTCAGGGCGGTTCCCAACAAGTTTAGTTTATTGTTATGTTTCAGATTTTTTCAAGGAATAAAATAGTCACCAGATATCAGACTTCTAGGCAGTTCTGACTCTTTTGAATACACTAAACTTGCTTTTCTTGCTTCCTAACACCAGAAAGACACCAAATATGAAATTAGATATCCAAAAGTCCATTTAGAGAGTATTTAAGCATCTTTTCTAATCTAAACTTCAACAATGAGTGAATTATGCTTGTTTTCTCCCCAGTAAAATTGTTTTCTTGATTAATTTTATCATCAGCAGTTCCTATTCCCCTATCACCCCTATATATTAAGTGACTTTTCTTGGTACATCTACTTTTCCATGCATACAACTGTCATAACACTTATCACATAATATTATATTGTCTACTCTGTTGTATGTCTCTTCCACTAAATTTCAAGTTCATTGAGGACAGGGGTCATGTCTATTCTTCTTTGATTCCTGACCCATGAGAGAAAACCAAAGCACATTTGCTGGGCTGTTTTTAAAACAGCTTTGTCTTATCCATAGGTGAGATAAGACAAATTATCTTCTTTTTGTCAGTGGCAGTGCTCTTTTTTTGGTCATTTCTTTTGAATGGTACTTTGTAAACAGAGTACCTTCACTTACAGCACTGAGTCCTTGATTCAGCGGTAAATCCACAGGAGTTCCAGCCTTTGAATGTGAGCCAAGGGACTTCAAAGGAAGGAAACACAGTGACTCAGACCAAAGGAGTTATGGCTTAAGTCATTTCCCCATTAATTGTACCTGTCTGTCTTCTACCCACACAAGCAGTAGTTATTCTATTAAATTCTGGGATAATGCATACAACTATTACAAGTAAATTATAGCCCTGGCCAATGTGGCTCAGTGGTTGGAGCATAGTTCCATAGCAAAGGTTTGCAGGTTCAGTTCTTGGTCAGGGCACATACCTAGGCTGCAAGTTCATCCCTGGACTCTTAGATCCCCAGTTCCAGCACAGAATTCCGGCCTGGGTGTGTATGGAGGCAACCGATTGATGCTTCTCTTACATTGATGTTTCTATCCCTCCCTTCCTCTCTCCCTTTCTTTCTCTGTCTTTCTCTCTCTCTCAAAAAAATGAAAATGTGAGGATTTTTTAAAAAGTAAATTATAAGTCAGAAACATTTCTTTCCTTCAGCAAGTCTTAAACCAATAAAGAAAACCTCAAAAAAAAGAGGAAAGTTCTGCAAACATGAAAAAGTCCTAAATAATTAATTCTTAAGGTATACAAATTAATATTTTTCCAGCCAAGTTAAACAAGTTTATTTCTCAAAATCTTAATGTGGTTTGATATATTGTACCAACTGCGAAAGCTGAAAATTAAACTCTAAATGTACCATGTTGAACAAAAGTTAGCCTCCGGAAGGCAGTTATGAGGGATTAGGTAGAAAATATGCCACCTTCCTGTATTAGTAGGTGTGGCACACATCTCCTCATAGTCCAGCTCTGACTACTGAATTGCTGAATTGTTCAGACAGGTTGACTTTCTGGTAAAGGATTCTTTTGTCTCCCTGGTTCGTTGTGCAACCTAATGTAAAGGTATGTAACTGTAATTGGCACATGGAACTGGATACTCCCTCCTGGATTTATAGAAACCCAAGAACATGATAAAATTAACCATTGACATTTATAGTATTTAATTTATAGAGCAAATAGAGTGAAGAGAAACATAAGTAGAAATGGCTAGTGGATTTAAATTCTCTGTATCTGAAATTTGAACATTATAGGGATTCATTTGTTTACTCTCTCCTCACATACTTCCTTCGTAAATTGAACAGGTTTACAATTTTGTAAAGATGTGGAATTTTGCAATTTTGCAGAATTGTCTGGAGTAAATCACATCCTGTGATATTCCCTAAATGCTAGAAATGAGTAGACAATGTTAAAGTCTGTTTTATTACTAAAGTAAAAAAAACTTTTTTGTTACCCCAAATGAATGGGAAATGAATGGCTTAATTAAATGTTCTGAATAATTAAAACATCACACAAAGGGAATTAATTTTAAAAGGATCAAAATATATCAATTTAAAATTATTTATTATGGGGAACTTGAGAGTGTTTTTAGAAACAGAAAAATGAACACTAAGATATTGTTACTGTCTATGCTGATAAGCATAGAAATTATATAGTCACAGTTGAATAAATGCGTAAAAATACATAAAAATGTATTCCCAATAGCAATGTAATTAATATTAATTAATATTAAAATAACATGTTTATAAACATAAATATTTCCATTTTCTTTTCACTTGACTTTTAGACATGGAAATGCCGAAAGCAGAAAATCTTCTCAATACCTGTAAGTTCACCAACAAAGTTATTTTCTAGTGAATCTTAATTCCTTGGATGGAAAAAAGACCTCCACTTGAGTCAATGTGGTAATCATAACTGTGTAGTGGGAAGCCTGGTTTTAGAAACTTGTGTGAAGGTGACTGTAGTTGACCTTAAAATAACTGATATTGTAGATTTAAAATGAGGAATACATCATCACATGCCATAATGGCAGAGGGGATCTAGGGATACACAGTGATAATGAAGAAATTAGAATCTAAAATGAGCTCTACGTCAGTTTTGAGCCCCAGATCTGCCATTTCCTGCTGGATTAATTTATACAGGTTCTTTAACCTCTCATGCCTGAACTTCCAAGTTGTTGTGGAGAAAAAAGAATGTAACACAAGCAAAGTACTTAGAAAAATTGAAATACTCCTCCCTTTTCCAACTGCACATTTGTGTGGAGCTAGATTTTCTTCATATACTTTGACCAAAACAACATATCACAAAAGATTGAAACAAGAAGCAGATATAAGAATTCAGTCATCTTTAATTAAGACAGACTCACAAATCATAAAACAATGTTTTTTCCTTAAATTATACTTAAAAAAATACACATTTTTAAAAAATAAAAATGTCTAATTTATGCTATAGAAAAAAAGCACACAGCTTATAATAAGCTTTCAATAAATGTCAGCTGCTTGATTTTCTATTGTGCCTATGAAAACTTCAGATTTAGGAATTCACTATGGAACTCTGATCCCACACACCAAGCTTAGTGTGCTGAAAAGTTAGCTAGCTGTCTTACATGTGAGCAGCTTCCTGGCTGTCCAAGACATTCTGCTTCCATCCTCCCAGTAGCTGCCCTAGGAAATGTGATCCCTAAGGTTGCTACAACCTGATGCAGGCTGTCAGAAAACACTGCTCTCTTCAGGGGAGCAGGAGCGAATGGGGTAGGTGGATTAGAGGAATCTCCCTCCAGAACCAGGTGACACTGACCGTGGTGGCTCTTACTCTCTTTTAGTCACAGCAAAATTATTTCTGAGCAACCTGGGCAAAACTGAAACACAAAGTTTATTAGATTACTTTCCTTTCTGATATATTCTGGCTGAACTGTCCTCAAGTAACTTAATATCTTCAAGTCACTTATTCCAATTAAAATTTTAGTACTAATGTGATCAAAATCTATAATTAGGAATTTTGTCAGGTTGGTAGAGGAGAGGTAGTCAAGACATGAAGAAAAGCAATGGTAAGAAAGAGATCAGCCAATTTATCTATTCCTCAACTGGAACAATAAACAACTACCCAGGTCAATATTCCAAATTTGACTTGGCCTGAGATTTTTACCTCAAATAAAAGAGGAGAATGGAAAGGTAGGCAAGCAAAACCAAACAGGGTTAAAGAAAAAATAGATTTTTGGTATGTGGCATAAAGTATTTAAGTACATCAATAGGTGATGAAGTAAAAGAAGGGTAGGGAGGCTATAAGAACTTGGTAGATTCTCTGATGTTCCTGAAAGTATCAGCCAGAGAATGTTCATCACACCCAAAATCCTTGAAATGTACCATGTGGCCTCTTTTGATATAACAAAAGCTACACATAGCTGGTGTAAGATTTCAGCAAAGTAATAACAAGGTAATACTGCAGAGGTAGCAACTGAAAGCTTAACAGAGAACTCGAATGGCAGTTGATGCATAATTATAAATTCTATTAAAATTCTGAGTAAGGTCAGAAACGGGAATTAAGAGTGGCCAGGGCAAGTTCTCCTAGCTCACAGAAAACCATCTTTGTTTTTATATCCCTTTGAAGGAAGTTGAATAAAAGCCAACTTCCTTTAGGAGTTGTCCAAACAGAAGGGAAGATAGGGAGGAACCATTTTAGCTTTGGGTTCTGGATTGTTTGTTTTATCCTCAGTAAGGGACTTGATTAGGGAGTGAAAAGAATAAGGAAAAGGAAGTTACATTCAGTGAGTCAATGTGAGAGCTCCCCCATCCAAAATAGCAATCCCATAGGCTCTGTTTCAGCTCAGTGATTTTTGCGAAGAGGATAAAAACTGAGGTTGAGGCTGCAACAAACAGCACACTCTGGAATCGGAAGCAATATACAAACTTGAGGGCTTCAGAGGGCTAATGAAGGCCCTTTAAAAAGTCTACATGTCCTTCCCCTGTGCTTCTAATTCCTTTCAACACTCAGGAAAGAATATCTCAACATACATCTTGTCACATATAATTAAAAACATCTCTGTAAAGCAATGGACCATCTAACCTTTCTGATTAATTTAAATCACATTCTTAATACAAATTCCTTTCTCTAACTTAGAGTTTCTCCACTTCCACACTATTGACATTTTGGGCCAGCTAATTCTTTGTTTCAGGGACAGTCCTGCATGTTAGAATTTTTAGCAGCATCCACAGCCCCTGCCCACTATATACCAATACCTCCCGCCACAATTATTACAACAAAAATATCTCCAGATACTGTCAAATTTCTTCTGGGGATGGAGGGTAGTATGCAAAAGCGACCCTGATTAAGAGCCAATACTTTAATCTATGCTCACAGCATTGATTATGGCAAGTTTTTTGCACTCTCTAAATGCTTAGGAACTTAACACATTACAGAAAAGGGTTTTGCAGTCGAATATTTTTATTTCAAGAAGTCTCTTGGATTAATAGATTGTATAGACTTCATTTCTCCAAACATTTGTTGAGCTCCTTTTATGTAATGGATTCTCTGGGGTAGTTTCTGGAGATACATTTTTTTTTTAAAGATAGAGTTCCTGCCCTCTTAAGCTATTATTAATGAAACTGATAATATTTAGTAAAAGATGCAATAATTGTTAAGGTATAAGCTCAGTGCTTTATTCGGAGTAACATGAGATAGTCGAAAGAATCACAGAGAGAGTCACACAGATAAAATGATAATGAAGTCATAATATTACTGCAAATTTGCTTTAAAGACTTAAGTTAGTTCAAGTAGTTTCTCTGGTTCTAAATTGGCATGAAAGCAGTCCTGATTTAGAGCAGCATTTAATTTTAAGAAATGGTTGACTATATTCTTGTGTTATTGCCTATATCCAAGTATTGTGTATTGTAACTTAAGTATAAACACATTTCTGTCTACTCTGTCTCTCATAAATATCTCATTCACATTCACATTCATTCACACTTTCTTATGAACAGCAATTCTCTTTCTCTTTCGTAGCAATGATTACTTTAAACACTGCTTATGAAATTAAAAAACCCACACTTCTCTATGCAACTCTGTAACTGGTTATGCAAATATTATCTTCCAAATTCAAACATTTCACTTCAGCTGCCTCTTACAACAGGAAAGGCCACACAGACAAAGAAAGAGTGTATGTGAGTGACGAGGATGGGAAAGGAAGATGTCAACTTATATTGAATCCTCATGAAATCTCATGACAGTAGTAACTTAGTTCAACTTCTCCAAAACTGTCTGAGCTTTCCCTCAATTAATAGTTAACAGTGAAATGTATTATGGGGAATATGTTTACTATAGCAATGTATGCATAAGCAATAACAATATCATGGCATGCTAATGAACTCTATTTTGAGCAGGTTGTGGACATCGCACTATAACTCCCTCTGGCCACAAGATAGCAGGGGGCATGAATGCTGAGGAAGGGGAATGGCCCTGGCAAGCTAGCCTTCAAGAGAACAATGTCCACCGATGTGGAGCCACTCTGATTAGCAACAGCTGGCTTGTCACTGCTGCTCACTGTTTCGTAAAGTAAGCTCTGGACCACATAATGGCCCCAACACATGCAAGTACCTACAAGTTTGATACGTACAAGAATATGGCCACACAATGATACCTCCAACTTTTCAATATTGTGGAGAATAACCTCAAAATTACTCAATGAATTATCAGTTTAAAAAAAGATATATTCAGGCTAATGCAGATTTGTCAGCAGTGGCATTATTGACATTTAAACCAAATAGTTCTTTGTTGTGGGAGGCTATCCTGTGCATTAGAATGTATTTAGCTGCATTCCTGTCCTCTACCCACCACGTGCCAATAGCATTCCCCCAGGACTGACAAGCAAAAATGCCTCCAGTTATTACCAAATGTGTCTGGGAGGATAAAACAGCCCTCAGTTGAGAATCCCTAAGCTAGATTCACTTAATTAATTTTATGAAGAAACTATAAATTCCAAATTGAACACAGGTCTTCTATTTCTCACTGTTATTACATTGGTCTTATGAATCATAAGTATTTGAATTCATTGTGTGTCCTCCTATATATATTATAGACCTATTTGAAATACAGTGATTATTTCTTTAAAGGATATATAATTGCACCAAAAGTTTGCCTTTTTTCCTAAAAGTGCTTTTTGCCCTTTTGTCTGATGGTTTATTTCAATAATTTCTATTGCTTTTTATATAGTATTTATTGGTTTTATATTTTTAAACAAAAATCCCTCTCAAACTTGGAGTGTAAAAGTGTTCCAGAGCACTAATTTTCTGGGCTTAATATAAAGTCTTGTTAACAAATAATAGTAAAAGTGAGAAATATCTTCCTATTTATAGTTTTAATAATTATATAAGAAGATTTAGATATTTCCTTAATTCCCATATCTTGCCTACTTTTTATTTAATCTTTTTATCATGTGTTGCCATAGTTATCTTTCTTATCTTTTCTGGAAAAAAAAAACAAGAACAAAATGTAGTTTTCATGGAATATCTTTTTTTTTATGTGTTTCTACTTTATTGCTATATAATGTTGCTTGAATTGCTGCCATGTTGTTATCCAATAACTTGTCTGTTTGGCATTAACAAAAAGGGATATGCATGTTGCCACCCATTGGAAAGTAGGAAGGATATACAAGGAGAGGTCTTTTGGTGCTCGCCAAGCCCAGTGGGACCAAGGAGCTCTGTATTTGACTAAGCCAGCACCAGGAAGGCAGGAGGAGGAGATCACCAGGGCAACCCCTAGGCCCTTTTTTCTGCTTTCCTGCACCTGCTTCAACTATATGGCAGATCTTCCTTAGGGAGTTTCTGGAGAGCCTGGCCAGATGGTCTCTCTCTGCCTTTCTCTCCTTAGTAGGTGGGAAAAAAATCTGATTTGCCTTTTCTCAGTACCAATCTATGACATTTTAATTTGCCACCATGCATGACAAACATCTTCCCTGAATTTATTGTTATATCCACCTCCCTGTTGGATGGCTCTATCTGAATGTCTCCTTTGTACATCAAGCTCAGTACATTCAAATGGAAGCATCACTTCACACCTTAATCCTGATCTGCTTTCGGTGAGCACCATCTCAAAGATGACACTACCACCATTACAGGTACCCAAGAGGAAACTTGGGTGTCCTTGTCCCCACCCCAACACTAAAACTCACAATCACCAAACCCTGCTGATTTATCTACCAATCAATTTTCAGGTTTTTTCCAGAAATAACTTTCGTTGTATTTTTTACCATTAAAATTTAGTCCCCTCTGACACTCATAATCAAAAGCACTGTTGTCCATGTCTATGAGTTCTTTTTCCTTTTTGATCAATCTCTCCACCCCTTAACCTTCCCCCCTCAGCTATCATCCTGCTCTCTAAGTATGGCTCTATTTTGCTTGTTAGTTCAGTATGTTTGTTAGATTCCACAGATGAATGAAATTACATAGTATTTGTCTTTCTCTGACTGGCTTATTTCACTTAGCATAACGTTCTCCAGGTCTATCCATACTATCACAAGGGTGAAACTTTTTTCTTTTTTATAGCCAATATAGCTTCTTGAGTTATTCAAAACCTATCAATGTTTTTATTTTATTTTGCCTCACACAATATAGCTTCACTTTTGTATGCTTATATACACTACAGGAATTCAAAAGTCACCTAAATGTTTTTAAAAGTATAAGAAATTAATTCCTACAGCTCCAACTTTTAATAAATATATCTATTTTATTTAGCACCAATGATCCCAGAAAATGGAACGTTAGTTTTGGGCTTCTTTTAAGTCATCCACAAACAAAACGAGGTGTCAGAAATATTATAATTCATGAAGACTACAATTACCCTGCACATGATAATGACATCGCTCTTGTGAATCTGTCTTCACCAGTACTATATACAAGCAACATTCGGAGAGTATGTCTTCCCGAAGCTACTTACACATTCCCACCCAATTCAGATGCGGTGGTCACTGGATGGGGCTCATTAAAGACTGACGGTTAGTTCCTGACCTTCCTCCGTTACCCGTTTGAGTTTTAGGAGTTAAAAAACAATACCCAGAACCACAACTAAACCTGAGAAATACTTTCTGTGAATCATTTTTAAAAGGATAATATGCAAAAGATTGAAAATTATCCTCAAGAACATTCATAAAAACACTACAATTTCATAGAACTATTTACCATATTTCCCTTAACAATAGCAGTTTTCATAAAAATGTATTACTTAAATAAGCAATTCATTTTTCTCTATTTCATTAATTAATTCATTCATTAAAAAATATTTATATTGATTACCACCTTTGTTCCAAGTACTATCCTAGGTGGTTTAGATATATTAATAAATAAAATAAGCAAGTATTCCTACCCTTATAAAGCTTACATTGCTAGCAAATAAAAGTAAATAATAATCATGAAACATAATCAATAAGTAGATTATACAGCATGCTTTGTGCCAGTAAGTACCACAGAAAAAATAAGGACAACAAAGGACTGGGCATTTCTGATGTGGTGAAATGAGTAGTGCTCCGCAATAAGGCAATACCTGAACAAAGATCATTTAAACATATGCATCATGATGACCCTAGTAACGTAAAAATTTAGTGGTTAGTTATATTCATAAATGCATTTGAAAACAGAAGAAAATAAACCTGAAATTAATTCCAAGATTCAGAATTATGGTAATAGCAGAAAATCTAAAAATGATCATAAAATGTATATTTCTGGAATATGAATATTTAATTTTGTTTTCTAGGGCATACATTTAATAAATCTAAACTTCTAAGACAATTCAAAAGGAAAATATCTCATTACATATGGATGAGCACTATACTTCAAAACATGATCATTTTTAACAATAGCATGCCATGTGCCTAACATTATTTCTTTCTTAATGCAGAGACAAATAAAGCTTAATTAAAATAAGTGTTTTACATTATTTTGAAATTGCACATAGTGTTTGATACTAATAACCTAGTCAGTGAGATTAATATTGACTTTAGCAATAATTATATAATCTCCTCTTCTTTTAGGATCAATATCTAATATACTCGAAAAAGGAATAGTAAAGATTATAGATAATAATATCTGCAACAGGGAAGAAGTGTATAGTGGTGTGATAAAACCTGGAATGTTGTGCGCTGGGTTTCTGGAAGGAAAGGTAGATGCCTGCCAGGTAAGCCTTCCTATTCCACTTTCAGGAAGATTGTTTTTCTTATAGTTTTTAATTTCCAATTAACCAGTTCAATTTTCTCAAAAGGTTGACAATTATTAAAGGCTTAAGTATGTTTTATAGCCAAAGTGTTTAAATTATATTGCTTTGATGGGTCCCATTAAAATACTAATGTGTTAAACTTACTATTACAAGAAGCTGTGGGTGGGAGTAGGGAAGAGACTCAATTTGGAATACAATAAAGAGAAGGAAATGGAATATTGGTGGCTTTAGTTCAATTGGTCCTCTTTCACTGAGAAGCATTTAACCGAGTCCAACACCACATCATGGAACTTTCTTAATTGGGGTGGCTCCAACATTCTAAATATTTTATTTCAAAACACTTATATAGCATGTCCATGTGTCAGTCATTGTTTTAAGATCTTTACAAATATTAATTTATTCAAGTTATGATAGCTCTGTGATGTGTGTTTGTACTATTATAAACCTTACTTCTCAGATAAAGTGACCAACACAGGAGCAATTTGTCTAAACTCGCTCAGGCATTAAGTGGCACAACTGAAATTTAAGCCAGGAAATTGAGCTCTACAGTCTATACTCTGAATGCTACACTAAGCTGCCTTTCCTTATGCTTTATATGCTTCAAACTCTCCTGATGCTACTTATAAACTGTTACCATAGAGCAACAAAAGTACTACTGTAGTTATCTAGGCAGGCAGAATCAGTGATAAACCCAGGAAGACCCTCATTTTGCTAATTAATTATTTCATGTAATGGTTGTTTATTGACTACTATGTGCCAGACCTTGGACTAGGTGCAGGAAAGTTAAAAGTGAATAGAGCATTATTCCTGATCTCTAGGAGCCAGAAGACGTGCACACAAGTACTTGTAATACATAATTATCATCTCTAATTACATATTTCCAGCTTTCCAACTGTTCCACTAAACCTATTCTTTCAAGTCATGACAAGCTTAAATCCCTGTTTCTCTCCATTTCCTTTCAGCCTATCACTCTGTCCCATGACCCTCTTCTAACTTTATGCATTCTAGAACCCATGTTTTATTATTTCAACCACTCTGTTGACACCACCCTGAATGACTTCACCATCTTTTACTTCCCCCACACCCATCCTAATAATCTCCAACCACTGAGCAATCTAGCTGCTTTATTTACTTTATATTTGAGCTCCTTAGCACAGCCAGAAAAAATCTTGTAGCCTTGTAAATTTGTATCATATAATCACAGCTGAGTCTTTCATACATTGTAGAATTCTTTAATGCATCTTTCATGGTGCTATGTCAAACTTTCATTACACTGTTTGAATGCTTCCCACCACACCCTTATATTCCTTAACTTATGACATTTCCTCCTACTAACTATAAAAAAAGTGAAAGCAATCACATGAGAACTCGTTTAATTTTTTTTATCTCATAGATTTGTATTTGTACTTATCTTTATCTTCTAGGCTCATGATAAACAAGTTTCTCCTCCTATTCAAAGCTAATCTCTTACCTGTATTCTTCATCCACTCTCTTTATATCTACATAGATATTTGAACTTTCTATTAATTTGAAACTTTCTTCCATATTTTCCAAACCATCCCACTTAAATGGACTCTTCTACATATTCTGCAAACATTATGAGGTCTCTCCCTCCTACTCTACCTTTTTTTCCCCTTCTTAGTCAAATCTCTAAAGAACAGTTTACCATCATGGTTCTACATTCTCAATTTACTCCCTCTCTGACCCACTACTTGCAGTCCACTTTTGCCCTACCAGTCCACTGAAAGTACCCTAGCCAAGATTACTGATTGACTATTCGCTAAATCCAACATATGCAGCATGGAAGACAGACTGAAAGCAAGTGAGCTAGAGATAGTGTGGTCTATTAAAATATTTTGTCTGAAAAAAGTAATGAGGGATTCAACTAAGACACAGTAGGAATAAAGAGACAGTAATGGTGCGTGGGTCACCGGCCAGCAGTGACCACGGAACGCTGTGGATGGCTCGACAAAAACACGTGAGAAAAAACATGCAGAGACAGACCAGTTTCTGTGGGGAAGTAGGGATGAAATGGCCACCCCCCCTAGTGGGGAGCATGCCGATTTACCATCCATATCTGCTTTTATTGGGCTCATTTTGCATAATAATTCAGGTAAAGTACAGTACTCATTAGGGGGAAGTAAGGAACCATAGAAAACAAGGAACTCTGCCGGTCTATTTTGAGTCGGGGTCAAAGAGCTGTAAGACTTCAAACTAACTTCCTCCTAAGACCCTTCTCATTCAACTGAGAGCATTCTAAACAGAGCAAGTTTCACAGTAATTTACATATTCTTTCTTAGGCCTGATCACCCGGGAAATCCGCCCTTTTCAGCACAGAGCTGTACCACTCTGTCATTGTTTCAGGCTTAGGTGGAGCAAGGGAACCAAGGCAACCAAGAGATAAGGAGATTTTCTCCCAGATGATGAGAACTCAGGCTATGTCAAAGCCGAGGAGTGAGGGTCCATCACCCCCTTTTGCTGCAGCCCCCCAAGTCCTTCTTTTGGGGGGCCTCCCAAAGTGATCGTGCCTGTCTTAGGTCATTCCCCCCTTGGGGAATCTTACCCATCTTTGGCTAAACGACCAAGCTTTTTGGGGTTCAGTTATGAATAAAGCAGCAGAAGCAGCATTCCTGCCAGGGAGATAAGCTTTTGTCTCCTTGCTGGCTTACAGTTCCAAGGGCGTTCCCTTAGCCTTAGCCTAGGCGGGGGCTTCAGCTTCTGATACCAGTCAGGGCGGTTCCCAACACAGTAACAGTTGAGTAACAAGATGATGGGATGGATTAGATGTGAGGAAGAAGGAAAAGGAGAAATATAATGCCAATTCCCATATTTCTCCCTGAGAACCTGGAAAGAAGGTGTACAGGAGAAAAAAGAAGTTTGTAGAGGGTGAAGGTTCAGATTGGGATGTGCTAAATTTGAGGGGCCTGTGGAATACCCAGGCAGGTATGTCTAGTATATCATTGAAAATAAAAGCCTTGAGCTCATGAAGGAGTTCTGGCTAGTGATACATATGAAAAAGCCATTGCCTTCTGGGTGGTAGTTAAATTCATGAGCATAAATACAATGGCTTAGGTAAAGTGCATGAAGTAAGAAGTACCTAAGTAACAGAACTCAGTTATACATGTTTTTATTGTGCTAACAGTAAAAGATAACAAAGATCAGAAAAAAAAAATAAATAAGAAACTGGTTTCACAGAAGTCCAGGAATCAGAAAAAGGGGCATAGTTTATAGTGACACATGCCACAGGAAAGTCAAGTAAGATAAATACTGGAAAGAGGCATCAAACTCAGTGTTTGTCAGTAAAGTTGGAGAAGATGCATTTGGTGGAAAGAAAAACTGTGTAGACATATATTAGAGTGAGATGAGAATATGGAAACTTCAATACAGACTATGACCTTAAATCACTTAGATATGAAATGAAGATAATTAGGGCAATATAGGAAGTATTAAGATCCAAAAAGGTTGTCATGTTTCAGGTAAATAAGACCAAAAATAAATTTTTAAAAAGCATGTATATGCCTGGAGAGGAAAGGAAGTGGAGAAAATGAAGACATATAAAACAAGGTTCTTGATCCACAGGATAGAGGGATTAGTCTTGGAAAGAACCAAATACACCTACTCCTCTAAAAGGGAGAGTAGATACGGATGCAGGCTGGGAAGTCAAAAGGCACAAAACAAGATGGAAAGATTCCTACCCGTTATTCTCTACTTATTCTATGAATTTGAAACTAAGATATTAGATTCAGAGTCAGGGAACCAGATTTTTAGAAATTGTCAAGCAGGCCTTATGCCCTGTTGGTAGGAATGTAAAATGGCAGTGCCTCCTTGGAAGACAGCATGGTTTTTCCTCAAAATAAATTAAAAATAGATTATCATATGATTCAAAAACTCCATTTCTCAGTATATGCCCAAAATAATTAAAAGCAGGAACACAAATAGATCATTGTACATCCATGTTCACAGCAACATTATTCACAATAGCTAGAAGATGCAACCAACTCAAATGTCCATTGATGGATAAATGCATAAACAAAACTGTGTGTATGTGTATGTAAACATACACATACACATATATATACACCATGTATATATACATATAATGGAACACCATGTATATATACATATAAGGTTATTTAACCTTAAAAAGGAAGGAAATTCTGACATGTATTGTAACATGAATGAAATGAAATAAGCCAGTCACAAATACTGTGTGACTCCACTTATCAGAGCTACTTGGAGTAGTCAAACTCACAGAGACAAAAAGTAGAATAGTAATTGCCAGGAGCTAGGGAAAGGGAACCATAGCAAGTTATACTGTATGGTAGGTACACAGTTTCAGTTTTGCAAGATGAAAAAAACTCTGGAGATGGGTGGTGACAATAATCACACAACAATGCAATGTACTAAATGCCATAGAACTGGTGGAATGGTACCTTTGAGGTTAACGTATATTTCATACACTTAAAAAAATAAATAATGATTTTTTAAAATTGTGAAATGAGAGAAGTTTGGATTGGCTGCTCTTAAAAATGAGAAAGAAATATGGTTAGGAACAGATAACTATTAGGAAGAGGTGTTGGTTTGAGGATGTGAATTTGTAATTCAGTTTTCTTTCACGGTGATGTTTTGGCCCAGGTTATGGTGGGAAGGTAAGAAGCTTAGAATCCTGTTGAAAGAGCATTGGTATGGTTAAATTAAGAATATAATCATGCAAATAAAAATGAAAAGTTAGAAGTACATAGGTTAATACACTAGAAGAAAAGGTAGGAGCAAGGACTGGAATTCTTAATGAGGTTGAAGAACAGGTGTACAGTGAAAAGTGGTGGAATGAGAACACTGAAAGAATAGCTACATGCAATCATAATGTTTTAAAATGGCATCTCAGAGGCAGAACAGTTCCAGATGGTGAAAATTTTCCCTTTTACCCCTTTCCACCCCTGTCCAGGAGTGACATGGAGATGTTTAATAAGCATGTTTTATAAGCATGTTTAATAAGATCAGAATTAAGGAAACCAAGAGACTGTGGTTTCATCCAATAGATGTTGAAATTATCCAGGATGGATGTGAAGGATTAGAGCAAAGGAAAATTCAAATATCAATGGGTTCAATCATTCTGGAAAAGTGACCTAAATATAAGTGCATAAAAACCACAAGAAGTTACAGGGTAGTTTAGCCAAATTACCCCGTTCTGAGAATTGGAGGGATGTTTACACGAGAATGGAAGAGCAATAGTCCAGTGCTGGTGGTAAGTAAAAACCTTCCTCTTTCCCAGTATATACCTGAAAATAGGAAAGTTTGGGAACATAATCAGAGAAATCTTCAGCATACTGGTGATTGCATTAGCAACAATACCTTCAATCTCTTTTAAGTAATAATTGAGTTGGAGTTTTTCATACTTGTTTTCCATTTTATTTTATATGCAAAGACATACACTGATATCTTTTATTCAAATAAATTATTATAGAACACAAAAATATGCAAGACTAGAATCATTTTAATATTGACATACTTAGGTTTCTTCTCTGCCTTCTGTATCTCCCTACCTTTACTATAGAAAATAAAAATAAGCAGTATTCACCTTTAAAATATAGCAATTGCATAAATTCTTTTTTCCTTCTAGGGTGATTCTGGTGGACCTCTGGTTAGTGCAGATCAGAGAGGCACTTGGTTCCTTGCTGGAATTGTAAGCTGGGGAGATGAATGTGCTCTTCCAAACAAGCCTGGTGTCTACACTCGAGTGACATACTATCGGGACTGGATCAAGTCCAAAACTGGCCTCTAATGCAGAAGATATTTGCAGATTAAAGCTTGAAGGTTATATGCGCAGTAAATATGGTTATAATTCCCAAACTACATTTAACTAAGAAAAACTTTAAGAACATTTATTGTTGCATATTTACACATATTAAATTTTAGAACTATGAAAGCTTCTTGTGCACTAGATTTTGATAAAGTTTTAATGAAAGTAATGGTACAGACATACAATTTTCTCCTTTACCCCTTTCTCAACTGAAGGCAATTACATGAGTAAATATAGATTACAGTTTGCCAAGAAGGCCTTCACTGCTGATTTGCAGATCCAATTCCCTTGAGAAATCGTAAAATAATTGTTCATGATAAACTTCCTTCTGAGTATATAAATAATCTCCCAATAGGCACGTGGATTCCACAACACCAACATATTGGTAGGTTGTAGCCCAGTGGGTTGCAGTAATACTGCCTATAAAAATTTCCCAGGAAATCTGTCTAGCTGTTTTCTTTCTAGTCTTTGTGCCAGTGCTAAGCCCTTTTCTTTTTATGGCTTCCTCACTTTGAGTGACACAAAGCAGCATGATAAGCCGATGGGGCACATTGAACAGATCTTGATGCTTGTTGATTTGTCCCTATTTTTCTTCCACATGAAAGTGAGGCCAGAAGATAGTTCTCACATATATTCACATAATAATAAAATTATCCTCAGACACTATGTAGTCTTGAATAAACTATGCAAATAATGCCAGATTCCATATCTCCAAATTCTTAAAATTTCTAAATAATATAATCAACCAGAATAAATAATATGGAAATTTTGCTTCCACTTTCCTTTTGCCCACTCAGAATCATCCTAGCTATCTTCTGAATCAATATTATGTTTTTTAAAATTCTATTACTTCATAACAAATATTTTCATGTTTATCATCTTAACTATGGATTTTGCATAAAGCAATGTTATATTACACATATTCTGGTATTTTGGGAAAAAGCATGACGGACTAAGGATTTAAGCCACCAGTACTCTTCTTTACCTGATTTCTTTGTGCCAAGAAATTGTATAAAATTCTAATGGAAAAAAGTATAAGTACTTAACTTTTATTTTTGAAAGTAATTTGACATGAAGACAGGTAAGCTAGACAAGCACATTTATGAAGTGTGCAACTTCCAAATAGGGCTGGTGTAAGTGAACCAACCTGCATAATGATATATTATATGATGATAGACTGCCTTTTCCTCTCTACAGAGAGACAGCACAGTAGTTAAAGTCAGTTATAATGGTGCCTCCCCCTCCCTGGGCAACAGTGTCAGAACTACTGGATCTCTTCAGATTCAGGAATTTCTGTTATAAATAGTATTTGGAAAATTTCATAATTTGCAGGGCATCCTTCATTGAGTTATAACTGTTTAAAATGTTAAAACTTCAAGGAGAGAGACCAAAGGGATCTCTCATGCTACCATTCCTCTGAATAACTTTTAAATTTGTATCTTGTTTCCAGAGCAATTTTATGTAAACACTTCCTCATAATTAATAATCCACATTTTCTTCCTCAAATTCTTCAATTAAACTTTAAAATGTTCCCCTTTTACTCAAATCATAATTGTCACAGACACTATCATTTTTTAATATTTTTTAATCCTTGCCCAAGGTTATGTATATTGATTTTAGAGAGAGAGAAAGGGAAAGAGAAAAACATCAAAGTGAGAGAAAAGTATCAATGTGAGAGAGAACCTCTATCGGTTGCCTCCCATATGCACCCCTGCAACCCAGGTTTGTGCCCTGACCAGGAATTGAACCCACAACCTTTTGGTGTGGAGGATGATGCTCCAACCAACTGAGCCACTCAGCCAGGGCCAGACACTATCATTCTTAATTAAACAAAGTAATGCATGTTTTGAAAATGAGAGATACTGGCCTTTTTTGATACTGTGCTGCTTCTGTCTTTTCTTCCTACTATAAACAAATTTTCTCCCAAATACTTTTCACCTATGTACTTCTCCTTTGGAAGACCTGCCTTCTTTAATTCTTTCAGTCTTAGTATAGAGATGTAAAAAATATATATCTTGCTCCTCTGGATCACTTCAAACCACCAGTTCTTTTGCATTTCAGAAAGAGCTGGCCAGGTAGGTACACAAAGAGGATGGAGAAGATAATACAAAGGGAAACAAAGATATCATGCCTGAGTATCAGTTCAGGTCATGAGAGAGAGTCACTCATCCCTAGAGCTGCCTGGGTTCCTATGGGCTTTCTAGGCCTTGTGTATCATAAAAGAGAGGTCTGTTACCTAAGAGTCTCATTGTCTTGCTACCAAAAAGACCTAATTACCATGACCCTTCATTCACTAAGGACCCTGACATCTTGCTCAGTCTTTCTCTTTACCCCACACCAATAAGAAAGGTAGTATAGCATAGGAGATAAGGAGAGTGGCTCTGGAGGCAGATGCATATGATATAATTCCCAACTCTGGTGTATAAATGGCACCCTTTATTCAACCATAAAATAAAGATAATAATAGTACTGACTTCTAGGGTTATTGTAAGGATTGAATGTTTATATATGTAACATGTTTAGAAAAAGGCTTGAAATGTGGTTAGTACCCAATAAATGTTAAATATTGCTAATAGTATCATTGCCAGCATCAGTGAGCACCTTCAAAATCCACATGCTTGACCCATCCAATAGCTTAGACCCAAAGTTCTTTGAGTTCCTTAAATGCATCAGACTTCACTCACACTCTACTCCTATCCACTTTCACAGCCACACCCTGTATTTTCTTGTTAGAACAGTTTCACATCCCAAATCTTAAATTCAAGTTTCTATCTACATTGTCCTAGGTTATGATCTGTTACTTCATTATAGCTTGTTTTCATTCCATCAGGATCCTCTTTTCCTAACATCCCCTTCTACTTGAGTCTACCCCCACCTCCACCGCTTTCATCTATCCACTTCCTTTCTTGTCTAAGCTCCTATACTAAACTCCTTATGGTTTTACTGAATAATCAGCTCCCCTAATGGATCTGCTCCCTTGTCTTTCTGTAACATCTGCCCTAGTCCCTTGAGCTGGTTCTACCTCAAAATCTCTAAGCATCCTCAAGACTTACATATCTATCTTTAAAACCCTTTTTTCTTTATTATATGTCCACTTCCTCAAGTCTCATATGGTCTTCCAATGGCTATTCTCATCAAAGCACTAAAGCTAAGGCAGGTTCTCTTCCATCAACCACCTAAGAGTTATGCTGTAAGAAGAAACAACCTCTCCTCTTCCTCTATGCCATCTACTTGGCAGCCACAAAGCAGCAACCATGCGTAAATGCATCTCCATCCACACTGGCCAAGCTGGTGTCCAGACTGGAAATGGCTACTGGGACTTCTATGGCCTGTAACGTGGCATCCAGCTGGATGGCCAGATGCCAAGTGACAAAACCATTACATGGGGAGATGACTTCTTCAACACCTTCTTCACTGAGACAGGTACTGGCAAGCATGTGCCTATGGCAGTGTTTTTAGACCTGGAACCAACAGTCATTGATGAAGTTCATGCTGCTGATTACTGCCAGTTCATCCACCCTGAGCAGCTTTACAGGCAAAGAATATGCTGCCAATAACTGCCAATGTTCTCCCTGCCAATAACTATGTGCGTGGGCACTACACCATTGGCAAGGAGAACATTGACCTCAACCTGTACTGAATGTGGAAACTGGCTGACCAGTGCACAGGTCTTCAGGGCATCATGGTTTTCTACAGCTTTGGTGGGGTAACTGGTTCCGGGTTCACCTCTCTGTTGGTGTAACATTTCTCTGTCAATTACAGAAAGACGTTCAAGCTGGAGTTCTCCATTTACCCAGCCCTCCAGGTTTCCACACCAACAGTTGAGCTCCATAATTCCATCCTCACCACCCATACCACCCTGGAGCACTCTGATTGTGCCTTCATGGCTTACAATGAGGCCATCTATGGCATCTGTCTCACAAACCTTGATAGTGAGAACCCAGCCTACACTAACCTGAATAGGTTGATAGGCCAAATTGTGTCCTCCATCACTGCTTCCCTCAGCTTTGATGGAGCCCTGAATATTGATCTGACCAAATTCCAGATCAACCTGGTGCCGTAGCCCCACACCTACTTCCCTCAGGACACATATGCCCCTGTCATCTCTGCTGAGGAAGCCTACCATGAACAGCTTTCTGTGGCAGAGATCACCAATGCATGCTTTGAGCCAGCCAACCAGATGGTGAAATGTGACCCTCACCATAGTAAATATGAGGTCTGTCTAGAAAAATCCCAACCAATGTTAACATAACGAGAACAGCATACATGACTTCGATGTAACCTGGCAGCCAAAGAGAGTGAACTAGAAGGTGCATATGTGAACAATGACAACTTCACTATACTAGTCAGTGGGGGTGGTAGATGCCATTGAGTGAGCATGTGTACTGTGTGGCTGTCCCATTCAAAATGACTGAGCAACAAATCTGCATCACATTTTTCATTAAGCTTTTACATTTCTGCATAGAAACTATTTGGATGACTTAGAAGGCCACAGCTACGGACAACTGGTGATTGACAGCTTCATCACCACAACACACCTGCTCATGCATCATGTCTCATGTGGAGTTTTTTAGCAAAATATCAAATCACCCAGATGACTCAGCCCCTCTACAGCCCAGATTTGGCACCCTGTGACTTCAGACTTTTCCCAAGACTGAAATCATCTTTGAAAGGGAAGAGATTTCAGGCCATCAAAGATATCAGGGTAGTATGATGAGGCAGCTAATGACAATTGGGAGAGTTACCTGAGGTTCCAAGCTGCCTACTTTGAAGGGGACTGAGGCATCATTGTCCTATGTACAATATTTCTTGTATCTTGTATCTTCTTCAATAAATGTCTCCATTTCTCATTTACATGGCTGGATACCTTCTGGACAGACATATATACCAGGTATTTAGTAACTATTTATTACATGAATCAATATAAAACAGGCAACAGTGTGGTGATTGCAAGGGGTTGGGGGTATAAAGGTGTTAAAAAA